CCCCCCCCCCCCGCCCCCAGGCAGGATGGCCACGCTGCAATCCCTTCTCCTCCATTCTCTTCTCGGGATCTTAGGCACGCATGCACACGCGCCTAGCGTGAGTTTAAGCCACCGGGTCCGGGACTTGAACCGCAGTTGACTACGTGGGAATCCAGCAACATAGCCATTATGCTAACTGCTGGTCCCCCCAGTGTGAGTTTTAAGCCACCGGGTCCAGGACGTGAACCATGGTTGACTACATGGGAGCCCAGCGACATAGCCATTATGCTAACTGCTAGTCCCCCTGGCAACTTGCTTTCTCACTTTCCCTTTCTCTCTCTCTCTCTCTCTCTCTCTCTCTCTCTCGCGCCAAATTTAAAAAATAATAATAGCAAATGGAATTAAATAGATAAAAATACTTGAACATATAAATAAAAAGAAATTTTGTAAATCAATAAAATATGGGAGGGAAAAGAAATGCTAAACAACTATAGATACCTGAGATAGTGGAGGGTGGGAAATGGCAGAGGGTGAGAAATAGGGGATATACATATATATCTATATATATAACTAGAAATGGAAAAGTATGGACGATAACATGTATGATTAAGCCACTATGCAGTCTATTCTGAATGGGAAATGACATTTTGTAACCTGTGATGATGCTCAGTGAATAAATGTAAATTAATTAATTAATTAAAAACTAAAATTTTTTTAAATATAAAAAAGAAGAGAAAGAGATAAAAAGAAAGAAGAAAAAAGAAAGAAAAAGAAAGAAGTAATGAAAGAGAAAGAAGAAAGAAAGAGGAAGGAAAGAAAGAAGGAAGAAAGAAAGAGGAAGGAAGAAAGAAGAAAGAAAGGAAAAGGAAGGAAAGAAGGAGGGAAGGAAGAAAAGAAGAAAGGAAGGAAGGAAAAGATGCCCGAGGCTGTAGTCCTTCTTGGTTAAAAAGGAGGGTTTTCAGAACAGACAAATCTATTCAGAAAATGTGAGTACCGATATATACATATACATATACATATTTAATTTGCCAAAGGGTATGTGTGCTAGCCAGAAAGGACAGAGGGAGAGGAGGAGAGAAGAAAGCATCACCCATGGGGCATGGTCACACTGCAATCCAGTCTCCTCGCTCTCCTGCTCCTTTTGAGATCTTGAACACACACAGACATGTGCCTGGTGTGTTTCTCAAGCTTCCAGGTCTGGGTCTACAACCGTGCAGTCAGCCATGTAGGAGCTAGCTGCCCCAACCACCAGGCCAGACTAGCCTGGGAATATCTCTTAGATGGGTATACTGACACTAGAAAATGCAGTGGGACAGAGGGCTCGGGGTCTGTCCTTCTTGGGGAACACATGTCCAAGGGTGACTAAGACATCAGCCTCTTACTCAATGGAACAACTTGGTTAGTTTCTTAGCGATGCACAAGACCCTTCTATGAAAATGTACTTAGTACCTATCTTCCTTTCCCCAATTCAGAGCTATTCTTTTATGCTCGTTCCCTTTCTTTCAAACTTTATAGATTTAATATAAGCTGATCCCTAGAAATAGTAGGAATTACAGAATGCTCATCTCATTACATAAACATAAACCATGACACTTTACACCCACGTACAGGAAGTACTTATTATGATGATTATTATTATTAGAGAGAGTTTTTGCTATGCATGCACTTGCTGGAGACACAGAAAAAGACAGAGAGAGAGAAAAAAGAAATTCCCCCATGGGGTGGCCGTGCAGCAATTCCCTCTCTTCTGTTCTCCTCTTGGGATTTTGGACATGCACGCACAAGTGCCTGGTGTGAGTTTCAGACCACCAAGTCCAGGACTAGAACTGTTGTCAGTCATGTAGGAATCAACACCTTAACCACTACGCCACCTGCTGGTGCCAGAAAGCACATATTATTTAAGAGACTCATTTTAAAGCCCTAAGAGGAAACTGAGAGCCAGGAAAATAAATTCTTTCCAGCACATAACGATTAATAAGGCCAGTCCCGCAGAGTTAAGATCTTCTAAAGAGCTAAGACACGCTTCATTACACAGAAATCACAGCCATGCATGACTAGTTCTGTTTTGAGTAAGGATTATTAGTAAATAAATAGAAAATGTCACCTGAGCTCCATTTTGCTTTATAAATCAGAGATTTGAAATCAATTCAGCCTGCCTCACAGATTGTTAAGTACATGCTAAAATGACAACCGGATTTGTTAATGTACTCATCAAGAGGTCAGCAAAAGCAACACTTGACTAAGGAATAAGCTGCCCCTTCATTACATGGCTGTCCGGCTGCTATATTTTACTCTTAGTCATTTCCCTTTGACAACAAAAAAGCTAAGATAATAAAGTACAGAAAATGTCTCTTTACCTTTGGTGCTTTCCAGTGGCTCAGTAGACAGTTTGGCAGGTTAGACCCGAACAGTGTCCCTCAAAAGGAAATATAAAGCCTTCACTTTTTGCACCTCCCTCTCCCTTTGTGTCCTTAGTGATTCAGCTCCCTACCTTCTGGGCGGAAGGACAGCCCTGAGAAGGAAGTTCTTCTAAAGGCCATCGAGAGTGACCAGTGCCTTCTGGAGGAGCACACAGTCTTAAACTCCTTCTGCTTTGCTAATAGGTGAATGTAGACAAGCCCAGCCTCTATTCTTTAAGTGAACAGCACATCAAATTAGCAGTGCTATGTCCAAAATTCTCGGGATTGCCAATGTTGGTATGAATGACACAGAACTACTCAACAGGAAAAATTCTTGCTGGGACACATGCTTCCTGGCCTGAGGCGCATTCATCCCAAGATCTGGGCCCTCCTGCATAGAGCATATGTTTTTTTATGTGGAGCTACAGCAATTCTCTGGCTGGTAAATCCTGTCTCATAAAAAGAACACAAGAGTGTGTTCAGGCAGGAATTCTCCTGTGGTTTCAGTTTAAAAGCTTGGCAGGAACAACAAGCCACCCTATCTAAAGTGAGTTCAGATGCTGAGGTATGATTCAGGAGTGGAGAAGAAAAATTATAGATTAGAAGTTGAGATGAGAGCTGGAGACAGAAAACATGTCGGATGTGCAGTAGCCAGAAATCAGCCCCATGAGGCAAGACCAGCTTTCCAAGGGGCAGTTGCATTCATACAATGCACAGCACAGGCTCCCCAGGTTGACAGCACCAGCCTCAGCCCATGATGCAGCTGCACTGCCTTTGTGTGAGGAGAAAGTCCTTTGTGGCCGGTGATTTTCTCTTCATCCTCAGCATGCAGTAGGTCTTCCCTTAGACAAACTTAAACCATTTTTACAAGACACAAGCACAGGCCTGTGTGGAGTGGTAGCCTCAGCAGCAGCTACATTAGGCAGAGGGTAGTGAGCTTGAAGTGGCTCACAAGAAGTATCTAACACATCTAATCCAAGCCATGACATAGCCTACTGTGGGTGCTATGATTTGAATATGTCCTAAAAAGTCATATGTTAAGATTGGATGTGACGAGATTAAGAAGTTGTAAACTTCCAACTGTGTTGAAATGTAGGGTCCTTGGCCCTTGGGAGGAGATTAGGGTTAAGGGGTTCAGGGTGTCCCCCCATTGACTCCTGGTGATTATAAGAAGAGGAAATGAGATGAGAACAGAGACACAGATGTACTTTCTCCTGCCCTCCACCATGTCATATTGAATATAGAAAAACCCCACCAGATGTGGCTGCTGGACCTTGGACCTCAGACCTCCAACTCATGAGCTAAATAAACCTCTATTCTTATAAACCACTCCATTTCTTGTATTTTCTGTTATTAGCAATAGTACAGATAGAATAGTGGGCTTGGGAGAGGAGTTTCCTTCTCTGGGAGCCACATGTCCAAATGAAGTGCGTATTTTCATCTTTCTCCTACTCTAAGCTTTCCCAGGGTAATTTCCAGGAGTCCCTGTGACTAGGCTGTACATCTGCCTAATCCTGAGATTCAAAATTAGAAAACCCATTGTTTGTAAGTGCCTAATTCTCAAACATCCACCTATGTTTATCTGTAAGAAATATTTTGTTCTCCACCTGCCTGAATTTGTTGACTTCCTCGCATTTTTTTCTCAGAATTCAAGTGAAGTGAGAGGGTTACTTATTTGGGGGATTATAACCTACTGAAATGAGCATGGGCTAGAGAGCAGAGTGCAGATTTCTGCCTTCAAGGGACCCCTTTACATCTATATCACCTGTAACTGATGGCCTCTGGCAGAAGTTAAAGGATGATCATTCCAAGAAAATACTTGAGGCAACCAAGAGGCATATGTGATCTTCACAGAGATTACCCAATTGGTGTGCTATGGAAAGACTCTACCAGCAATTAATTGTAGAACATTCTGGAGAAGAACATTCTTTCTCAGAGCTGGGCAATAAAATAAGTTGCAACATAGTATGGTACTAGAAGAAACAAAGTTGAAGAATTTTGTTAAATGCAACTTTACAGAGTTCTGACAGAGAAAAATCAATGGATAATGTGTACGCACAATTTCACTCCCTCCCCTGCCTTCCCAGAAAAGGGAGGTCACAAGGTCTGATCTGAGACTACTTCTGTGGCTTCATTGGAGATAAGGGGTGAAGGGTAGATGTGGGAACAAAAGGAAGAAGCAAATAGATTTACTGTGGAATTGAGAGATTCTGAAGGGATTTTCATTTTTTGAGAGAGATATTTTTTCCTATAGGGCACATGTGTTCATCAGAGAGAGAGAAACACAGAGACAATGAGAAGGAAAGTGGGGATGGTCATGCCACAATCCCTTCTCCTCTATTCTTCTCCCAGGATCTTGGGCATGCACGCACACAGGCCTAGTGTGAGTTTTATGTCACTGGGTCTGGCACTAGAATCATGGTCAGCTATGTGGGGGTCCAGTGACATAACCACTACGCCATCTGCTGGCCCTCTGATGGGGTTATTAAGAAATTGTAAACTTCCATTTTTAAAGAATGGAGTTGGGCTGATGCAGTACTGCAGAAGTAGTATAATTCTTTGCAATGTTGGAAGCCCGATGGAAGGGGTTTGCTTCCCAGGTCAACCTGGACATGCTGGGCACATACGTAGGTGCTCAGATCCTACCTGACTGGGAAACCTAGGGAGAAGATTATGGCAGGAGATCGTTTAGAATGCTTATTTTTCTTTCTCTTTCTCTTATGAAAGAAATATATAAACTTTAAAAGATAGAATTGGATGAAGAGGAACTTGTTTAGACAGAGTTGGTTGTTCTTTGGAGTTTGGAATGGGAGTGGAAATAAAGAAGACTTTGGGAGCATCTGCTCCTTGTATGACAGACAGCAGGAACAGAGAATGATGGCTTGTCTGTCTGTGTTGGGGGTGGGCTATTTGCATTATAAATGTCATCCTTCTTCATAGGTTTGTGAAATTTACAAAGATAGATGCTCAGTTAAACTTGAATTTCAGACAAACAATACTTTAATAATATGTATATCCCAAATATGCAATAGAATATACTTATACTAAAAAACTATATGTCAATTATCTAAAATTCAAATTTAACTCCATATTAAATATTCTATGTGGCAACCTCACCTTTTTTGTATTTTCTTGAAAATCTACAGTAAGCATATACATTTACTGGCATTTCTTTGAACTGGACCCAAGAATTTAAAAAATCCCATTTGGTTGTTAAATACTAAACTGGGTACTAAATGTATGTGCTGCAGGAAAGAAACCAGTATCCCCCAAGTGGCTGCTGAGGACACAGTTGATGGAGAAAGCTAACTCCTGTAAAGGGTCAAGATGCAATGCAGGTAGAAGAACCAGCTTTACACAAAGCAGGACACAGCCCTTCCCAAACATGAGAAGAACAAATAAATTTGCACATATGAGAATTGGAAGTTGGTCTGGATTGTTCATGCCTTGTGGACAGAAATCATGCTTTTTGCTAAATGCCTGATATTTAGTAAAATTTCACTCAATAATCATGTGTTAAAGTAGACTGATCTTTTTTTTCTTTTTTTTTTTTTAATTGAGTGTGGGATTGCAGATGGGGAAATATGCTTGGGGTTAAGAAGAAGCAAGAGATAAAGACTTGAAATTTGTAAAAATGGAGAAGGGATTGCTCAAAACCACGCAGTGACTGCCAGCGAGAGCTGGACCCCCACGCTATCAGTCACACGAGGTGAGACTGCTGCTGCTGAAATTTGCCAAGTTCCTGTTTCCCAGCCTCCCCATATCCTTGCAATGTGATCCCTACATCCAGCCTCCCAGTTTTTGCAAATTTTTCAGTTTTCTGACAGGACTCTGAAAAGGATAAGACTTCCAATGAGACACTGAAACTCTTTCTTACACATAAAGCATTCTTTCCAAAGAAGTCATGTCATGTGAAAACCAAGAATTTGTAAACAACACCCAGAACACTTTCCATTTAGTCAGACTAGCTCTTAACAAAGACCTAAATATGCATCAAAATGGAAAGAAAAATCACCAACATTGCTTCCCCCACCCCCAGGTAGTACAGTGGAAACCTGTCAACTAAAATGAGCAGCTCTCACACTAGAAGAGTGACTGCTGCGAGCTTAGCACAGGCCTCATTCCTTTGGTTTATGCATTTGGAGGTTTTTCTTCTGGCAAGTCAAAAAGAACCCACTACTTGAAACATAAATGAAGAAAGAGCTGGTATTTTTTTAAGTTTTTTTTTTTATTATTATTCATACATTAAATCACTATATATCATTTAGATTGTGAAGATACTTTACCCAGCATGATATACACCTCAGTTGAGACCACTGTACACATCCTAATCAACAGATAATAAATCTTGTATCCTCACAAGACACATAACTGGAAGGTAAACAAGCCACAAGCTGGAAGAGAATGTTCACCAATAAAGTGTTCATAAACAGAACACACAAAGAATTAGAACTTAGAAAGTTAAATAAACAGACAAAATATACAGGCATTTCACTAGGACCAATAAACCCATAGCAAAGTGTTCAACATCATTAGTCATCAAAGAATCATGAATTAAAAGCACAGAGATACTACTTCACTCTCATTAGAATGAATAAATGAGAAAGACTGATTACTTCAAATCTGAATGAGGATTTGGAGTGATCAGAACTCTCCTACAGTGCTCAACCACTTTGGAAAACTGCAAGATTATTTTTTTGTAATAAAAAAATTGATACAGGGGACCAGCAGTTAGCGTAATGGCTATGTCACTGGACTCCCACGTAGTCGACTGCGGTTTGCGTCCCGGACCCAGTGACTTAAAACTCACGCCGGGCATGTGTGCGTGCATGCCCAGGATCCCGAGAGGAGAATGGAAGAGAAGGAATTGCGGCATGGCCATCCCCTCTGGGGGGGTGATTTCTCGCTTTCTGTCTCTCTGTCTCTCTCTGTCTGTCTGGCAAGCGCATGTGCCCTTTAGCAAAAACAAACAAAACAAAACAAAACAAAAAACTCTCAAAAAAATTGATATATAAAAATTGTACATATTCATGGGGTATAATGTGATTTTTCAGTCCAAGAATACAATGTGCAATGATCAAACCAAGATAGTAACACCCATCATTTCAACCATTTGCTATTAATGTTTATTTGGGAACATTAAAAATCCTCTTTTTTTAGCTACTCTGAGGTATACAA